GTTGGAGCTCAAGAAGAAGGTAAACATGACGTGTAGAGAGGGATGGAAGGCGATGGTGGTTGTTGTGTTGGTCGTGGTAGATTGAGGTAGTAGGCAATACGAGCTGATAGGGATGGAGTTGATAGCTAGAAGAGATTATGGTTCAAGCAGGGGGTCTATATTAGAAGAGGAACATGAAAAGATAATCTGATTATCATCCAGGGGCTACATATTTGGCTTGATGATAAAAAAACCACAAGTGCTGCGTAAATAAGTATAAATACATTACCAACGGATAACCACTGCAAACACTCCACTATTCCTACAGAATTTTGAGACGGGGTTCGCTAAGGAATCGTTTGATAGTTTTTGTTTTGAAAACTATCAATCCGTGAATCGTCAAATCGACATCAAGATTCATGATAGGAGATGTGAAAAATTTTAAAGCCACACACAAGGACATGGATAAAGCCTATGATCTCGCAAGCGCATGCGTAGGATCCTTGCCAATCGAACATCAATACTTTAGCAATCAGGTATATGCAAGTAACATGCTGGTTACAATTACAATATAATTGTATTGCAGTTACGTTTAAAAGTTTTCCACCCATAGTTGGTCAGTTTGAAATTGTAATCGTACTCATAATCCGAGAATAATTTCCATCGGTTGTTCTGAAGCTATCGATCCTCCTAAATATTGTTAGGTTTAGATACAAGCAAGCTTTTTTCTAAAGAAAGGGCAAAGGCATTGCCGCCTTTATATTGATACAAATACACTATTTTATTTTTTAAAACATAAACTGAGGTACTACCTCAGCATAATATGTATGAGAACATTGGAAATGCAACCAGTTTTATAGAGAGGCCCCTCGTAAATGGGAAGATTACACATACATCCTGAAAAATGCAAAGGACTCAACAACAAGAGGAAAAAGCAACCAGGTCCTTGGCTTTGAATCTATTGCAACTGCAACAACAAGAACTCACACAATGGTGATAGGGGTAGAAAAAACACACAAGGTGTTGAAGATGAAGCCCAGTTACAAACCCAAACGGGACCTCCGTAGAATGGAGGATAAAGAAACCTAGGCAAGCATTCAGCCACTCCTTTTTAAACCATCGTCTGAATGGAGTGAATGGAGTAAGAAGACCATCGTAGGAGCAGGAGGGTCGCCGGAGAAGGAATAAGTGGCCAGCGCGACATTCTTGGGAGTAGAACTGACTCGCTCCCATATGCCTTGAGCTAACAAGCCTCTTATTTAAGCTCACCTTCGGATCCTGTTAAAGAACATGGATAGTAGCGAAGACCACCACAAGCACCGCCCGAAGAGGTCCGAAGGACGAAGGAAGAGGATTGTCGATGGATTGATGACGACCTCGAGCTGACCATGAAAAAGGGAACTACAGGATTATCCTAAAAACGGGATGAACCCAACTAAATCTAAGACTAAGCCTACTAGTGGATGAGAGTTGGACCCCCTCCTCCCTCGCCAGCGACCAGAAAGTCGCTGGAGATTGAAGGGAAGGGGTCAAACGGGAGGAGTTTTTTCTTTTCACCTGGGAGTCGCCTTGAGAAGGAAAACACGTGAATAAGTTTTTTTTCTCTTAATATATGCTTCTATTTATACAAGTAAAGCATTGATTGATTATGTACTATATGGATGGTAACATAGGTATTGTCATTTTTGGTGATGACAAGTAAAGGTAGTAGGGCTCACGTGCAAAAATCACTTTCATGTAAATCACATTACAATCACCTGTTTTGTATGCACTGGGCGGTTATCTTGTGCCCATTAAACGAGTCAATCTTTCATGTAAATCACATTACAATCGCCTGTTTCTACAAAAGCCCAACAAATTAAACACATTACACTTCACCCCTCATTACGAGTCAAGCGGTCAAGCCTCTTGTAGACAGACAGCCACATCCTCGTTTCCTTCCGGACATCCTCATGTAGACTGATTGTAATCTGTACCAGCTCACATGCCAATTAATTGGTTCTGGAACAAACATGCTAATTAATCAGTCAATTCCAAACTGTTTTTAAAAAAGAGCAGAGGACACGTTCATAGTACACGAGAGAAAGAAGGCATATATCGCTGCCTACCAGCTGATTGATGCGTGCAAAATGTGTAGTACATGTACATCGTACACGGAAGGGGAGGGAGGGAGGCAGCGAGCCGCCCCGCGCGGCGGCCGGCCGCGCGCGCACGCCGTGCCAAATGGAACGCGCCGCGCCCGGCCGCCCGGCGTCGCGCGCGCGTGGCATGCGCATGGCGCGGCACGCATGTGGGGTTTTGCCTAGAGAAAAAGGGTAGGCGGGGAGGGGGGGAGGAGTAGGAGTCGTGGGGGGCATTATGGCCGCGGCGTGGCATGTCGAGCCGTGGCGCGCGAGAGCCCCAGGGGCTCGCATGCAGCGAGACACGCCCGGATGCGCCACGAACCCACGTGGCGCCCGCCCGCCGGAACGCGCCAAAGTCCCACACAACCACAACGCGCGGGTGGGTGCGCGCAGCCGTGATCGATCGATCGGCCCCATCTCCATCCATGCCAAAGGAGGAGGGACCGCGCGCGGGCGCGGGCACCTGAGCCCACCATGCATCTCCCGCTGCCCACCCCGGAACCGGCCGACCCAGCCGCTCCTGTCCCCTTGGCACCACCTGGATTTTTCATATTTTGGTCCTTTTAAAAAACTTATTTCACAAATGGACCCCTAAAAAAACTTATCCTAAAAATGGTCCTTTTTGGGGCGCCAGAGTGGCTGGCGCCGTCCTCCTGCCACCGTGGCGCACGCGAACTGACGTGGAGGAGGAGGGCGCCAGAATAGCTGGCGCCGCCCCAGGGAGGAGGGCGCCAGCATGGCTGGCGCCACCGCCTCCATTCCTGTTTCTCTGTATGGAGTTGCAACGGTGTCATTTTTATTTTATTTTTTCGGATGTTTTTTCACACTCAGGATCACGATACAACCAACCACAAAAAAAAATTTAAACTCGAACTACCACTTAGCTAAGTCTGAAAATATCTAGCATACCACTTAGTCTACTTTGCACCTTCACTAAAATTAGACCATAACTCCTTTAGTAAAACCCTTTGATCAGCATGTTAAACATAATGCACTCTACCATTATATGAAATTACTTAATCTAATTCAAAATATAACCACATGAAATGACATATATAAGTTAAACAGTACATAGAGATGCAATTTTTTTATTTTTATTTCATTTTTTTGATATTTTTTTCACACTTAGGAGAACATAGGAACCAACCGTATAAAAAATAAACTCAAACGGACAAAATATGTGACATGTAGAATTTTCCAAAACTCTACCGAAACGGACAAAATATGTCATCTTTTTAAATAGGCGTAACTTTCTCATACGGACTCGAAATCAGGAAAATAATATATGCACGGACATCTACAGAAAAAGTTACATCCAATTCTCTCCCGCTTTGCCGGGTTCGGCGATATTAAATCCCCCAAATTCCGCTTGCAAGATTGTGTTTTCGAGGAGAGAAGTTTTTCGGTGGAGCTTTGGAAAATTCCACATGCCACATATTTCGTCCGTTTGAGTTTATTTTTTACATGGTTGGTTCCTGTGAGTTCCTAAGTGTGAAAAAAATATTAAAAAAATAAAATAAAAATAAAAAAGTTGCACATCTCTCTCCTCTGCACTAGTTCGGAGAGAAGAGAGGAGAGGAAAAATTCTACATGTCACATATTACGTCCATTTGAGTTCAATTTTTCTATGGTTGGTTCTTGTGTGTCCCTAAGCGTGAAAAAAATATCAAACAAATAAAACAAAAATAAAAAATTTCGGGTGGGGGGGGGCGCCAGCCACTCTGGCGCACTCCCCCTAGCCACCTCAGCATCACCCCGCCACGTCGGCAGGGGGACGGCGCCAAAGAGGCTGGCGCCGTCTTTTTGAACGACGGCGCCAGCCACTCTGGCGCCCCAAAAAGGACCATTTTTAGGATAAGTTTTTCTAGGGGTCTACTTGCGAAATAAGTTTTTCAAAAGGACCAAAATGTGAAAAATCCAGTTGGCACCACAGGACTCTATCTGCTGCTGCTGCTACTTGGCCGATCACGTTTTACTGCCAACAGAATTTATGGTTTAATTATGTTTTACTTAGCATGATGAGACAAAGTTTTTAAGTGTAGTACTAGGTTCAGAGAGAGAGTGTTGGTGAGTTTAATTACGCCCTGATTTGTCGCCTCCAAGCGCAATCGACGAGACCCTTTGCCGCCGACCGGCCGGGCACCGCAGCGAATTACGACTTGGGAGGGCGTGCTGGCCTTGTCTGACTGTCCTCGTACGCGAACAAGCCTCAGCGTTCGTCCCTTGTCGACGATGGTCGGTGGTGGGTCGGCCGATGGCGCTTTGTCGATCACCTCGGCGCTCACTCAGCACGCGCGTTTCGCTTCAATTCTCACACACGAGACTGTCCGTACGCCGGGGCTCTCGTGTTGTGCCAGCACCGAAGGTTTAGTACGTCCTGTATCTCGTCCCTGTCAATGTCTGCGGCGCCGGCGGCTGCGGTGTTTGTTACTGTGTCCCATGCAAACAATCTTGGTGATGAGAAACCTTGGTAGTATCGTTGCCAAGGAGGGGGGGTTTATCTCCCCGGGGGAACAGAACACTCCAGGGCGCAAGTACCGACCGCCGCCAGCGCCAGGAACAACGGGAGACTCGATCGTGAGTCGCCACTCGATACACTAGTAAAATATAAAATCCATAATCCACAATCCAAGCTGTGCAAGCTGAACAGCAGCCAAGGAGGAGGGAGGGGGGAGATCGAGCGGGGGGCCCCCTCGCGAGTCGCGGGTGTTTTACTCGCGTCGCGCGGTCGCCGTCCCCGCGTCGCCCTGCCTCCCCCCGGAGCGCACCACGTGGGCACCCAACCCCCTCTCCCAGCCCAAAGCAAATTCTGTCAACTTCAAGCTTGGGAGGAGGAGGAGAGTTGGACCCCTCCCCGTTCAAACCGCCCACGCCCCCGTCCCCACCATCACTCCACCCCCCCCCCCCCCCCCCTCCAACTTGCCAATGCGCCTCTCCCTACCTCCTCCTCCGTCTCCCCTGCTCTCCTCTGCTCCGTTAACTCTATATATACGCTCACTGGCTACCTCCCCTCCCAAACCATCCAAACCGACGAGCTCTCTTCCTCTCTCTCCAGCTCGGTCTCACACACACTCTCTCTCTCTCGGCAGAAACACACCACGATCGCGGCCAAAACCCACGCGATTGTAGCTCAGATTGTTGTGCGATCGACGCGATATGGCGACGATCACGACGCCAGGATATGCTCACATACAGCGGCAGCACGGCAGGTGCTCGACGACGGCGGGAAGGCGTGGGGCGTCCAATTCGGTGAGATTCTCCGCGCGCGCGGTTAGCTCCGTGCCGCACGCGGCGGCGGCGTCATCGGCGCCGGCGTTCCTGCCGGTGCCGTTCGTGCCTGGGGCCGACGCACCGTCGCCGTCGGGGAAGAGTGCCATTGGCGTCCCGAAGGCGCCGAGGAAGGGGGAGGAGGGGAAGAGGCTCAACTTCTTCCAGCGCGCCGCGGCGATGGCGCTCGACGCGTTCGAGGAGGGGTTTGTGGCGAATGTCCTCGAGCGCCCGCACGGGCTGCCGAGCACGGCCGACCCCGCGGTGCAGATCGCCGGCAACTTCGCGCCGGTCGGTGAGACGCCGCCCGCGCGCGCGCTGCCGGTGTCGGGGCGCATCCCGCCCTTCATCAACGGCGTCTACGCGCGCAACGGCGCCAACCCGCACTTCGACCCCGTCGCCGGGCACCACCTGTTCGACGGCGATGGCATGGTGCACGCCGTCAGGATACGCAACGGCGCCGCCGAGTCGTACGCGTGCCGGTTCACGGAGACCGCGCGGCTGCGGCAGGAGCGCGCGATGGGGCGGCCCATGTTCCCCAAGGCCATTGGGGAGCTCCATGGCCACTCCGGCATCGCGCGCCTTGCTCTGTTCTACGCGCGCGCCGCCTGCGGCCTCCTCGACCCGTCACACGGCACCGGCGTCGCCAACGCCGGCCTCATCTACTTCAACGGCAGGCTCCTCGCCATGTCGGAGGACGACCTCCCCTACCAGGTGCGCGTCACCGCCGACGGCGACCTCGAGACCGTCGGCCGCTACGACTTCGACGGGCAGCTCGGCTGCGCCATGATCGCGCACCCCAAGCTCGACCCGGCCACCGGAGAGCTCCACGCGCTCAGCTACGACGTGATCAAGAAGCCGTACCTCAAGTACTTCTACTTCGCGCCCGACGGCACCAAGTCGGCCGACGTCGAGATCCCGCTCGACCAGCCCACCATGATCCACGACTTCGCCATCACCGAGAACTACGTGGTGGTACCCGACCACCAGGTGGTGTTCAAGCTCCAGGAGATGCTCCGCGGCGGCTCGCCCGTGGTGCTCGACAAGGAGAAGACGTCGCGGTTCGGGGTGCTCCCCAAGCACGCCGCGGACGCGTCGGAGATGGTGTGGGTGGACGTCCCGGACTGCTTCTGCTTCCACCTCTGGAACGCGTGGGAGGAGGCGGACACCGACGAGGTGGTGGTGATCGGCTCGTGCATGACCCCCGCCGACTCCATCTTCAACGAGTCCGACGACCGCCTCGAGAGCGTCCTCACCGAGATCCGCCTCAACACCCGCACCGGCGAGTCGACGCGGCGCGCCATCCTGCCGCCGTCGAGCCAGGTCAACCTCGAGGTGGGCATGGTCAACCGCAACCTCCTCGGCCGCAAGACGCGGTACGCCTACCTCGCCGTGGCCGAGCCGTGGCCCAAGGTGTCGGGCTTCGCCAAGGTGGACCTCGCCACGGGTGAGCTCACCAAGTTCGAGTACGGCGAGGGCCGGTTCGGCGGCGAGCCCTGCTTCGTCCCCATGGACGCCGCCGCCGCCACGCCCCGCGGCGAGGACGACGGCTACATCCTGTCCTTCGTCCACGACGAGCGCGCCGGGACCTCCGAGCTCCTCGTCGTCAATGCCGCCGACATGCGCCTTGAGGCCACCGTGCAGCTGCCGTCCCGCGTGCCGTACGGCTTCCACGGCACGTTCATCACCGGCGACGAGCTCACCACCCAGGCCTGATCCATCGATCGAACACCTCCACGTTTCTTGGGGGGGGGAGGAAGTGACCAGAGGGAGCCTGACCGATAGGTCCCCGGATTCCACCCCCCCCCCCCCCCTTCCCTTCCAGATACAGTTACAGTTACAGTTACAGTTAGTATAGTAGTTAGCCTCGGTCTTCCAATTTTTAGCTCACTCGCGTCAGCTGAGTCCACACTAGTCCAATAGAGAGAGAGATTATTAGTCCAAGATAGAGAGAGAGAGGGCCCAGCTCGTAGCTTTTGTGTTGGGTGCTCGCTTTGCTTCCAGTGAGCAACCAAGAGGTCCAGAGCTCAGCCGGTGCCTATCTACCAGATTACTAGTAGTATATATGTTTTTTTTTTCATCTTTTTCTTCCCTTTTTGTTTGGATTAGACAGGGATATGCCCCCTGCCCCGGGTTGTCGTCGTCACCACTGTGCAGAGTTTGGGATTCTTGCTCCCCACCCAGTTGCTGCTCCTGCTGCTGAGGTGTTGTTTTGGCTTATGCCACCCTCCCGAGTGTGTACATTTGTTCATAGCTTGTATAATAAAATCTGCCTCTCCCATTGGTTTCCATGTCATTTTGCTCCGCCAAATTCTGTCTCTTCTTGTTGGACTCTGCTGCTGCTGGGCTAGCTAGCTGCAGCGACAGCTCTGTTACTGTGCACAGCTCTGTTTATACATCGCAAGTGGAAGCTCTGCTACTTGTTTCTTCCATCACTCTGCTAGTGTGGCTTCTTTCAGAGCTCAGACCACAACATTATCTAAATTTTGATTTCTTTTCCCACTTGTAATTTTACTTCAGGCCACTGTTGTCTGCCGGTACAACTAGCTGCGGGTTAGTACGGGCTGTGGAGTTGGCTTCCAAGTGGAATCGGTTGAGACGAAAATTTCACTGGCATTTGGATTGTGCCTGTGATTTACTCAGATTTTTTTTATGCAGACAAGAATTTTTACTGTTTTCTAGATTTGAGACATGGCAATATGGCATCAATCTTGTGGCAGATTTGATTTGTTTCCCAAGGTGATACATCCGCCAGACATAACCAAAGTCCCAGTCTGGCATGCATTGTGTTGAACTTCCAGAGCTTTTTTTTTTTTTTCAGAGGAGAATTCAGAGCAGAGAAAAGATGCAACACATGCAGAGAGATGTTTCAGCAGCATGAATAATGTGAGTTTCGAGCTCTTGTTAGTTGCAGAAGTTTGGCACCTCGACGAGTCATGTCGTATGCTGTTCTTACGAGGAAAACAAAAACGTTCTGCACGCTAGTGCAGAACAAGACCAACTTCAGGTCGGCACAAGCAGGGCAGAAAAAAGTGGCCTTCTTCTGGAAGACGAGCTGGTAGTTGGCTTTACAACAAGTTGACACACAGAATTGTCGACAAATTACTGGTATAGTTGTTAAAGTTTTTGAAATGTTGTGTTTGAGAGAAGACTCATGATTGAAGAGAGTAAAATCCTTTCAGTTGGTAATTCAGACTTTGGCCGAGTTTAGTTCCAAATTTTTTTCTTCAAACTTCCAACTTTTCCATTGCATCTAAACTTTCCTACACACAAAAACTTCCAACTTTTCCGTCACATCGTTCCAATTTTAACCAAACTTCCAATTTTGACGTTAAACACACCCTTTCAGAGAAGACTCAGAGGAGAGAGTAAAGTCCTTTCATTTGGTAAGATTGGTGTAATATATAGAATTAAGCGTTACTGGGAGCAGCTGGGATTGCCGGCTGCTGTCTAGTCCAAGTGGTGTGGCAATGCATGCACCTTCACCTTCAGTAAGAAGACTAGAGCTAAGCTCTTATTGGTTTGGTGTTAGATAAGTGCGTCTACTTGTATTGTGGTTTGGTTCTTTTGATTCTGTACTGTTCAACTAATACTGCTCAGGTAGGTAACTAATGTCAATAGACAGTAAGATTTACATATTGTCCTGCAACATTTGTTTTTCTCATTTTGCTTTCTAAACTATTTAAGATAGTTCACTTCATTGCTTACTACCTTTCCCTCCCCCCCCCCCCGCGTCTCTCTCTCTCTCTCTCTTATATAAGTCTTTTTAAGCTATTTTTTTAAGCCATACAAGAAACCATCATGAAAGTCTGAAATATTTTCATAACCGTTTGATCGATTGAACCTATTTTCAAATATTTTTATGATTGTTTTCTTGAACTTTCAAATATCGATGTTTAAATTAGTCTTAGTTGCTTTAAACCTATGTACACAATAATGAAGAAAATCTAAAAATAATATTGAGAGGTAGTTGAAATGCATTTATCAGTCCTATCAAATTCAATTGCAAAATATGATCAAAGAGAAATACCATCCGGGAATAAAGTGAACCATATACTTTATACTCTGGTAAAATAGTTTGAGAGAATAAAAATGAACTTTTCTCCTTATTATAAAATTCTCAGGTCTCCGATAATATGAACAGTAAAACATATATCTGCAGTGTGAATAATGCGACGTCTCCTTCTGTTCCCTCTCTCAGGGCCTGTTCACTTTGATGCCAAAAAAAACCTTACCAAAATTGCCAAAATTTTGGCATAGTTACCAAAATTTTGGCTGGCAGGATTTCTTATATAGTTATTAAAATTTGACAGTAAACTAAATATAGCCATTTTTTGGTAACTTTATCAAAATTTGGTAAGGTTGAAAATGGCATCAGTAGTAGTATAACATAGCACCTACTCCTTTTTTTTAAGGAAAAAAAAACAACAACAACAACATAGCACATACAGATATTTCCGGTACTCGACAATTCTCTACTTCGTCTTAGGTGAGCTGACTGGGACATAAACATTAACAAAAAAAAAAAAAGAGGACGCGGCGCATATAAGGCAAAAGCACGCTCTTTCAGTTTAATTCATTCTATCTACCCAAGTGAAACTATTTTGTTTCTGTGAAGAGATGTGATTATTTAATTGAACTTGTCGCGAAGAACGTAGCTAGGCACTTTAGAAGGCAGATCACCGCAAAAAGAAACGAGAAAAAAAAAACGCCAGCGGGCCGCAGCTGTGCGTAAAAACTAATGTATGATCATGTATATCCATCCACTAATCAAGCACCACCATGTTATCATATACTCTCTCCATCTTCATCCCAATTCAACCATCAAATTCCATCCCAATTCAATTTAATATATCCTCTTCGATCAAGGTGCTATGTCGCTTCATGTCAAAAAAATAATTCACACTTCAAATAATTACATGGGTTGAACCAATAGAAATTAATCTTGATTGATTGCACATTTACTCTTTGCACAAATAAACAAAGAATCACTTTGTTAGATAATGATCACATTAGAAAAACCTAAGAAAATCTTAGGTGATGATTAAATTGGAATAGAGAAAGTATCAAACACCACCATATATTATCGTCTAAAAATTATCAGAGTACTACTTATCCCATCAACCATCACTAGTTTAATTTTTTTTTTCTAATTTTATCCCAACCACATTTCATCCTCGATCATCTTTCATTTAATTAGAATATACTCCGTATTTTACTTTGTCCTCAATCTCTCTTAAAAAAAAAGTTGATAAATTCTTATATATGTGGACGGAGAGAGTAGCTAGCTATGGTCGATCAGCTGCACTGGTTAGTCAAGATGCATGATTCGCACGCCAAGTTAAGCATCTTGGGTCCAACTAACAAACCGGCCGGCCGGTAGCAAGTCTTGCAAGCAATAAGAAAGCGGCAAATAAGGTGATCAACGTGCACTAGCAGTAGTAGCAGCAGCTAGCTTAATCGGGTACACTTTTGACTGTATTATTGGGGGAGACGGAGACGATATGATGGATGTGGTGTCATTTTCCCTCGCGCCGGCCGGCCGGGCAACCGTTTGTATATATAAACGCGGATTGAATTGATCGATCAGTAGTTGAGAGAGCAGAGAAAAATCCCACCGACCACGCTAATGGCGATCGAGATTCGAGGGTTACCTGCCACGTCGACACTTGTCGTCAGCTAAGCACGTACACGCTACAGTTTATACTTAGCTACTCCATCCGCCTCAAAATATAAGTATTTTTAGACCTTGATATAGTCTTCGAGTATAAAAGTTTCATGTTTTAAATAAAAAGAGTTACATATTATGATTATTTGTTTAATGATAAATCTAGTAATATCAAATTTACATGATTGATTTTTTTATTTCTTTGCTATTAATAGTCAAAATTTAAAAAATTTGACTTGGTACTATTCTAAAAGTTTATATTTTGGGACGGAGGAGTAGTATAGTTAGAGCTATTAATAGTCAAAATTTAAAAAATTTGACTTGGTACTAGAGCTCTCTCACGTCTCGTCGTCCCTAAGCAAATCTCTAGCTTACCATTTTAATTTCACTCGTCGTCCCTATATAGACGTATAAAACATAGTAACATTTTACCCCTAAAAGCATTTTTAACAGACTGAGTCGGTGTATCTTAAATAAATTCCCAACTAGCTTGATTATACCTTTAGCTAATTTTGAAATAACCTAATTAATTAGCTTGCTGGTGAGTTGCATACTTGCATGCTTGCCCGCCCCGCCGTCTATTCCCTCTCTGTTCAATGGAACAGAGACTCACTGTGGTAGTCAAGCGCTGTGCGATCGCACATGCTCATGCGAATATCCGAAGAGCTAGAAAAGAATGTGTTGTTGTTCTAATCTAACTTAAATTTGGTGTATGATTTCACCTGTCAAGATTTCAATCATGATACTCATAAATATTATACATATGTAAGTGGATTTTCAACGATAAATTTAGTAAGATCAGAAATGTATCGTCCGTCACTGATTTTTGTCTCTTAGGAAATGTCTTAGCTATGGGGACACACTCGAAGAAATGTGAGTGTGGTGTGTGCGTTGCCATGTAATTGAAAAAAATAATACTTTAAGTTTACGGAGTTTGATAATAAGAACCAACTGGACGGAAGAGCATTTACACGGCCTGAACGGATCGAGCCGCACACCCAGTAAATTCATGAGCATATGAATTGAGATAATATTATCGATATATATGATGGAGAGCCTCAAAATTGCCCCCTATGGCGTGTCGAGAATTAGCACGTTGCATGCACGCCAGGGAATGTAGTAGACGTGGACGTGCAAAGTGATCGACGCGATCGAGCGCGCGTGAAACCACGTCGTTGTACCGGTCACTGTCGCCGCGCGCCGCCAACCTCGCGCCGCGCCGTTGATCGTAATCCGACGGCGGCGCGGCTAATCAACCTGGTGCGTCGTAAATTAATTCGACAGGGTGTAGGGTATCCATGGACTAATCCCATCTTTAATTCGAACGAATTAACCGAAGACGTGACACACCCACACGCCACACGCACGCTTGCATGGCGACGGGGCGGGCGTGCGTATACGTGTCGACCCGTGGACCAGCCAAATATTAAAGGAAAATTACAATGCATACCGCATACGATCCAACTGTCTGATTTACGTACAACTTAATTTGTTATAAACAGCTACAGTGAATATAAACATGCTCTCCTTTAGTTAATTTACTAGAAAATGGGTGCGTCTTTGGCGCACCAACTAAGGCTGTGTTTGGAGGAGGGGGTTGGGAACCCCTCCTCCCTGGCACGCAATAC